AGTGTTGCATGTTTACATTATAGCACCTCTAATGTACGCTACAATGAACACTTGTGTCACACGAACAGATATATCAAGGTGGTTGTCATGGTTTCAGAAGAAGAGTTGTGCCTGTAAGTAAAACGATACTCAGTTATATCATAGTTTTATCTACATGTTTCTGTTTAGTGATCTGTATTTAGAATAAGTACTGGGCTTTTTATAGCATTGTCACGGTTCTTTTCCATTCACATTATGTTATATTATAATATATTGTATTGTTATTTTCATAGTTTTTATATAGAGGTTTGGAGATATTTAAGTGCATGGTTTTAAATTCTGTAGATCAGCACTTTGATTTGATGTTATTTTGTAGATATTTTCTATTCTAAAAGTCAAAAAGAGAGAAAAAAAAAAAAGCAGAATTTCTGAACTTGCTATGAAGTGTGATAAATATATTTTGGGATTACACCTGTAAAATAAAATCTCCTTTTTAAACAAGCAAACTTGAATTTGGCTAGTCACCCCTTCAAGATTGCATCTTCGTGCACCTCTGCATTGATTTTAGTGAACTAGTTAACTTTAACTTTATTTCTGGGGAAAAGATAGAGTTGCAGGGAGCCACATCTGCATGGAGCTGAAGTAGAAGTTTGTGTGAACAGTCTGACCTTCCTGAGCAAGCTTGGACTTTATGTACTGAAAACTGCTTTTTGGTTCGCTGGTGGTAGCCGGACACCCACCTCTCACCAGCACAGATGGTTCAGGACATTAAAGCTGGGTCAGTCTGACACAGATGTCGGCTTTTAGCCAACGTTTGTGGTCTAGATAGAAATCACAGATGAATGGGACGTAAAAAGCAGCACTATTAGAAGTAGTCCAGAGGTGCACAAGGACAAAACCTTTCTTTAAAATAAATTGTCAGAGTTCCAAAACATTCTGATCGCACCCCGTGTCGCTTTTTCTGTTCAAATATAAACAGACAGTGGAGTAAGTTTCAGTACAACATTTCAAGCAAACGTCAAAGCCGTAATGAACCTAATAATAACCTAATTAGCTTGAATAGACTGGATTTTAAAACGTAGAAGCTGTTTATTAGCCGTTTACTAGACTATGTGGAGGTGAAGGTGGTTCTCGGGGCTGATGGTGCACTCCTCCTCCCTCCAGATGAGCTTCCAGGAGGACCAGGAAATCGGCTTCATGCCCCGGCAGCTCAGCAGCGGCAGTGAGGATCACAGCAGCAGCGACGAGGCCTCCTCTCCCTGCTACTCCTCTGGATCCGAACCGATCCCACCACCTCCCACCCAAAGCCCCCCGCCTCCTCCGCCCTTGCAGGCTCTCATACCCCCTCCCATTCCGTTTACCGACCCTCTCCCACCAGTGCGCTTCTCACCCGAGCACGTGCCCCGCAGCCGGATGCCCTTCCAACCGCACCACCCCATCATCCCTCCTCCTCCACCCCCTCCGAGGACCATCCTGTCCAGCCGCTCTCCCCTACACAAAAAGCACCCGAGCAGAGACGAAAATGAGAAGACTCTCCAGCGCTTCCAACCCACCACCCGCCTCGGCCACACAACCCTGACCTCCACCAAAACCTTGCGCTCCCGCCCCACCTACCTCCCACGACAGTTCAGCCAGCCTCAGCCTATCCGCCAGCCCTCCCCGCAGCCCTCCCCGCAGCTGCTGAGGCCGAGCCAGCTCGTCCTGCAGAGGCACCACCAGCTCCACCACCAACACAGCTACCAGGGCCCACTGCCGCCGTCCCTCCAGGAGCACAGCCCATCCCAATGTCAGAGCCAGGGCCACGCGGGCTCCTCGCTGCTCTCGCAGCCTCCAACCTCTCACTCCACCCTCCCCAGTCACATGAAGACCTTGGAAACCACAAGGCAGGAACACCACACCTCCAAACAGGTAACATCTGCACTTTGTGGTTTGTTTGTTTTTTGTCTTGTTACTTGAAGTACAAATAAGACGTCAGCACACACAGAAATAGAAAATGAAAACACTAAGAGGTTCACTCCATCAGTGCTGCAACTAAGAGCGCTTAGCAACAGAGGTGCAAACTAGCACTTAAACACTCTGGTGCTAATCAACATTCTGCATCATTTGCCCCATTTTAACCTTTTAACATCGCTCATGTTTGCCAGCAGCCAGTTTCGGATTTGATGTACCGTCTGATCTATAATCAACTTTTTAAAATCTATTTCATCCCCAAATGTGCCTTTTATGACAGAAGATCTATTAGGCCAAAAACCACTTAAGAGGCTTGATTTGAAAGTTAACGCCTTCAGTATGTTAAGTGTAGCCCAACCTTGACTCTGTGTGGTTTGACCTGTGGGACGTCAGAGGATAAGGAGAAATAAAAGGACTACATGAGCAGTCTGAGACTGTATTCTTCCACCAAAACCCCAAATTCCCCCAACACTGCTCGTGAATTTAACATGATTCCAGATTTCTTCCAGTTTTTTTTATTTCCGTGTCATATAAGTGTAAAGATCCAGGATAAAGAATCTTTACACCATACTCTTCCAGTAATTCTCCTAACAAACAGACAAAAACACAGAGACAACAAACAACTCACATGGCCTCTTTGGAAGAAGCTAATAAACTCTGTTTCTTTTCATGCAGATCCATTTAAAACATGAACATCTGCTCAAAAATCAGTGTCCACTATTAAGTGGGATCACACATACAGTTGATTGTTTGGCTCAGATCTTAATTGGACTTCATTACTCGAGAACAGCATTCAGGCAGACCATCAACTTCATCCCGATAGGTCACATGATCTCATTGCAACCCACAGTTCAGCTGATATTCTCCTATAGACCTGAGTGGGAAATCTATTTATTTTGTTTTAATCTTCTTTATCCTGTCCACAGTGTGCTGTAAGCCACTTTGCAACCCATCTCAACCCCAGTACTTCCTGCCATGCTCTTTCTAGCTTAACCTCGTGCTCTGTCCCCGGTTTTGCTGTTGCTTTCCACGACAGACCCATACCCTAAATAACTAATAATAGCAGTAATAATTTCTTTGTCTACAGCTGCTAAAGAGTATACAAGAAACTTGTGAGGTCCATGCGCACAGTGGGAATATGATTCAGTAGTGAGAACTGCTGTCTTTGTGCTGAACTAGAACACTATGGCTTAAGTGTTAAGTAATTGTTTTTCCATCTTCAAGGCTCCACCACCACCTCCTCCACCATTACCTCCTCCTTGTGACCCACCTCCGCTGCCCAAGCCGGGCCAGCAAGCCTCAGACGCTAACCACATGAGCGTAAAGAGGCTCCGCTGGGAGCAGGTGGAGAACTCTGAGGGAACAATATGGGGTCAGGTGAGTGGTGATCTCCAGTTATCTTGCATTACCCTGTGGTTAGAGGCTGTACGGATACGTATATGTATGGCTCTGTCAGTAAAAAAAGAAAACAACATGTGAATCTACCCACTCGGACTGTGAGTTTTCTCACTACTCCTACATATCTCCATCCATATTTGGAAAAACCTCCTTATGTGTCTCCGATGAGTCATCAAGGCAACAATGTTGTTTTTGTAAACAGAGGCTGTGCCAGACTTGATCTGCTTTTAGATGTTAAAACGTTGAGCCTTTTTGATCCCAGCATATATTCCTATCAGACATGAATAAAATCTGAACACCATCCATAAAAGAAATAAGTTAAAAAAGCTGATTTTGACTGTGCCTTCGGAGAGTACAGTGTGTCCTTGTCTGTGTTTAGCTCGGGGAGGATTCAGAGTATGACAAGCTCACCGACATGGTGAAGCACTTAGACCTGGACCTGCACTTTGGGACTCAACGCAGATCCAGTGAGTGATTTTGTAACTTTGTCACGTCTTCATCAATTCATACACATCAAGTCATCTTAACCTCTTTGTGTCTAAAACGATACATTTGCATTGCATCTGAATATATGTGTGTCTTTATTGACGTCGCCTGTTGTGTTTGTACCTTCACAGTTATGTTCTCCATTGGAGCTGCTTCATTCACCTGCACCTCAAATCCATTCTCCATACGGCACCATATCCCCCTCTTGTTTTCTGTCATGATTATCAGTAATAACACAGATCTGCCTATGTAAAAACCAAACCACACAACTTGCTGTTACCGATTAAAAATCATTTTATTGGCCTCTAATGGCAGAGTGTGTTATTAACCCACCAACCCGCCACGTTCAGCCTAGGTGACTTAGTTTGTGTATTGACCCCTGGTGCCAGGAGAACGCATCCTTACACTGTTTGTTAAAATTATCAGTCTCTCCTCCAGAGCCAGCCTTCCAGCCAGAGAACTTGAAAAAGAAAGACGTGGTGGAGATTCTGTCTCATAAGAAAGCCTACAATGCCTGTGAGTGCCACACAAACACGACACAAGGGTCGAGGATCAAGGATGTGAGACTGCAGCAAAAATACCTTTTATAGTTACAGCTGGTTACAAAAACGTTGCACAAGTAGAAGACAAAGAACATCACTTAATGAAGGCCAAACATTTTCTGCGCCACTGATGTGGAAGAGGAATTATAGACACTATTTAGACAAGGTATCAAATCCACATTGTGCCCACAAGATAATATATAGCTGATAAACTTGATGAAAATTAACTGATAAAGTGATTAACCTGATAAAAACATGTTAGCCTGAAGTAGTAACGCTGCATCGAAGGGCAGGGTTCAAGTGAGAGCGCACTCAGACATATATATTAGCATAACAAGGATAATAGAACAGAATCAAGAGTTGAAAATTACCACTGACTCTGCAGCTGTTAAACTTCTGCTACTACTTATTCAGCTTCCCATGTGTGCTCTGTGCTTTTGCAGCATTTTTTTTACCTGCTTGCATTTTAAGTTGCATTTGACCTCTCAGGGCCACCGTAATGGATACAGTTACACTGTTCAAATAACTTAAAGAAACACTGGATGATCCAAGTGAGTTAAAGTTCAGGAATATCAGTTATAAACCATCATGAATCTATTTCACCTCCCTTGGTTGGAATGAAGGTGAAAACAAGTGCACCGCAGAAGTAACAGCGAGATAACGCCCTTAAAGAAAATGGATTTGGCCACAGATCATTGCTCTCTCCTTATTCCTTCTGACTGATTTCTCTCTAGATTTGCTTTGTGCTAACTGGTACCTGATAGGTTTGTAGCTTGAACCTATTCGCTGGAACGTTGAAGACAATATAATTACACAGCAAGCAAGACACGAAGTAGGCAAACCTAACAGTACCAACAGGTCGTTCATGTTTCATTCACAAGGAAAAAGAGTGAGTCTCTACAAGAAGAAAAAGACATGTATATTTATGTTCTTCCTAGATCGTGGATCAGATTTGGCCAAATTTGATCAAAGAATTACAAAGAGTCATCTTACGTCAGCGTAACAATAGAGGCCAGTGTAGCAATATAGCAAGACAATGAAAAGTCTAAAAATGATGCCTTGCTTCTCTGCAGTTATCCAGATTGGACTCTTTGGCACAGCAACTTCTGTCTTCTGTCACGGCACTGCTAATTCACTGTTAATTAGCGGGTTTATGATGTGTCTCTGGGTTTCAGAGCTACATGTTACAGACACATGGTAATAAATGTGAGTGAAAGACACGCAGATGAAGGGTTTGTCAGCAGAGCGGGAACACAGTGATCCTCTTTGGTACATAAATTCTCCACATTTTCCCCCGCCTACTCACCCTCCTCCTCCTCCCTGCAGCCATCCTCATCGCCCATCTGAAAATCTCCCCCGAAGAGCTGCGTCAGGTGTTGATGAACATGACCACCGACAGGCTGGAGCCGGCCCACATCAAGCAGCTGCTGCTGTATGCCCCAGACGAAGAAGAGGTGAAACAGTACGAACAGTTTGATCAGGACCCGGGCAAGCTGAGCGAGCCGGACCAGTTCATTTTCCAGGTGACTGTGAGGGGAAAAATGTCAGAGATGATCGGAGATGTTTTAAAGAGTAAAACTAAATGATTTAACATTGTGTTTCAGATGCTAATGGTGCCTGATTATAAGACTCGCCTGCGGAGCCTCTACTTTAAAACGACCCTACAGGAGAGGACGGAGGAGATGAAGATCGCGTACGATTACATCTACAAGGCTTCAGTGGAGCTCAGGAGCAGCAAGAAACTAGCCAAGATCCTGGAGGTATGAAATGAGCAGTCGAAATGAAAATAAATCTGTGAATATCTGTGTTAGCAGTGAATACTTACGGCTTTACTTTACCAACAGTTTGTTCTTGCAATGGGAAATTACCTGAACAACGGGCAGCCGAAGAGCAACAGGACGACCAGTTTTAAGATCAACTTCCTAACTGAGGTACAGCACGGATGTCTGTGCCTTCAACACGGTAAGCTCGAGTTCAGTGTTTAGTCGCTCATGCGCTTCTCCTTCTGTCTCTTAGCTAAGCACAACCAAAACAGTAGACGGGAAATCCACCTTTCTCCACATTTTGGCCAAGTCTTTGTGCCAACACTTCCCAGAGCTGCTCAGCTTTCCCAGAGACCTCACAACAGTGCCTCTGGCAGCTAAAGGTACAATGCTCTTAGTTAATAGTTAATATACAGTAGAATCAGGTGTGCTTCTTTTGCATATTTTATGCTGTTGTTACAGTTTGATTTGCATATTTCCTTTGAGTTTCAATGGGTTTGTTACCTCATCTCCAATATTTCCCCGTGACAGTGAACCAGAGGGCCATTACAACAGAGCTGAGTGACCTTCACTCCACCGTGCAGGACATCAGGGCGGCCTGTCAGAAGATCCAGTCTACCCCTGACGATCACTTCACTTCAGTCATGAGTGTACGATAAAACCCATCCATTTTCAAGGCTGGAGCCTATTCCAGCACACGCAGGGTGTACAATGGGTAGTTTGCATGTTATCACAAAGCTGAAACAGTAGGAACGACACTCAGATTAATGTCATAGGGAGAACATGCACACAAAGGCCCAGGTGGGCAGCAGGGTTGAACCCTTATGCTGAGAGGTGACAATGTTAACCACTGTTCCACCATGCACCCCTACAGTAAAATCTGTAAATACATGAATGATGTTTACCAACGGTTAAGAGTTAAAGAGACACTTTTGTGTCTTTGCAGTTTCAGCTTAGCAAAGGAATCACTTGGCTGGCCCTGTCCAGTTCTCATCGACTACAAGCACTCTGATGTTTACTACCATACAGGTTATAATATAAGTGTAAAAAATATTATAAAAGCTCAGGAAAAACTTGACAAAATCGGCTGGTTTTGTTGTCTGGGTTCCATATTGTTGAAACAAACGACATAATGACTTGCCCGTTTCGCACTGCTAAGCTAACCGTTTCCTGGTTGGGTAAGAACACAAATAATATGATAATGTTGCACTTCAACGGTCTAATTGACCACAAAAATAATAATGGATTGGATTTATATAGCGCTTTTCAAGGCACCCAAAGCGCTTTACAATGCCACTATTCATTCACTCTCACATTCACACACTGGTGGAGGCAAGCTACGGTTGTAGCCACAGCTGCCCTGGGGCAGACTGACAGAAGCGATTGCTATAAGTCTGAATAGTTTTAGAGATTGTGCTACAGGAATCACACTTAAGGTTTAAGCATTCAGAAAAAACTGTATTATGTGGAAAAACTTAGTTGTACTGTTCAAATAGTCGTTTGTTTTTCTTTCTTACGACGTCTCAGTGCTTTGATTTTTAACTAAACTTCTTTTCACCGATGGACAGTTTCACTGGTCGAGCCCACTTTAGATCAGTGGGCTATAGTGCCACACAATGTAAGATGAGTTTGACATCCCTGAATTAGACTCAAACACACTTCACAAGATTAATGTTGGATTCTTTTAATATGTAATACTGAATTTAATAAACACCGGCAGCCTTGCAGAGCACGCTGACAACAAACTAATAGTAATTAATAAAAATGATGCACAGGTTTTAAGACGCTGTAACAAAGCCTATATTCATCAGCATAGCGATGTGTCAGGATCTAACAATTTATATAAACTGCTGTCCTGTGATTCCCCTGAGATGTCACATTTATCCAGAGAAAGCTCCGAGCTCTCAGCCAGCTGTCAATAGAGTGAGAATAGTAGGAAACTAAAACTCATATGTAATTCATCCATTGCTATTTTGTTTTTTAAACATCTGTCCTTTTACTTAATTTTACTTCAATCTACCCAACACATGTCCCTCAAAAGAAAATATAGAGAGCATGCAAGGATCAATAAGAACTGAATCTTTCACCGCAAAACAAATATCATGATAACAATATTACTGAACACAGTCAACATCCTTTTTGCTTGTTTTGTTTCTGGCTTTAGGATTCAGTCTTTGCTGAACGTCTGTGCGTTGACGTGGCTGCTGTTTGATGTTTCACAATGTTGAACTCTGATTACGGCTGTCCGGGAAGTCAGTTTGAAATCTGGACTGTAAATAACCTCATAGATTTTTGTACAAAAACATTATCTGACAAATGCAGGAGGAACGAAATAAATACAAGCAGTTCCAACTGAGCGGTGTTTTCTTAACGTTCACTATGTGTACAAAATGTGTGTCTGCGTACTTTGTGTGCATTTGTAAGGACCCCAATTTAAGCTTTATACATTTATAAAATGTGCACGCAGTGTCTATTTGTGAATTGATTTCAACAGCAGCCAGAATTACTCAGCCGTTTGTTTACTGTTTCCCAACTTTTAGGCTTTGATGACTAATTATTAACTGGTTCAGAAGAACAAGGTTCTACTCTGCTCTGCTTTGTGAATTAATTCCTGCAAAATGTGTCTCAGGTCTCTTGGATTTGTCCTGATTTTATTTCCTGGAGTGCTTCTCGGTGAGGACATTTATTTATTTATTTGAAGTTGTTGGTTATATATCTAATGTGCGTTTTTATGGGGCTTGTTTGTTTGTTTTTATTGTATTTCAGCACAGCACTGTGACGCTCCCAGGCTTCATGGTTATTTTATCCCCGAACAAGAGACTTACTCTGACAGAACCACGATCACTTATTCCTGTAATAACGGATATAAACCTGTAGTGGAGGGTTGGTGGGCAACCAGTACCTGTGAACATGGGAAATGGTCTCATGAACCGCAATGCATAGGTAAGTGTTACATATATATGTCTATACTGGGAATGGTAAATGTCTTTCACCATCTTTTACCAAAGATGATATAATATATATATACTATATTTTATATATATATATATATATATATACTATTATCATCATAATATATCGTAATAATCATATATACATATTTAAAAGATTGTGTAATCAGTTGTCTCAAAACATAAGAAATAAGCTAAAAATCAGACTGATCAGCAAATAAAGACAATGTTCAATCTTATGTCAGGATGGTGAAGCTTTCATTTTAACTCTAAAAAAGTTATAAACTAAATAAAAAATAATATTATAAGGTACAGGACATACAAATCAGAGTTTGGGACTCCTAATTCTCTTTGAATTAACCATTCATGCAGGGACACATTTTGCTGTTTGTGGAGTTTTAAAGTTAAATACCACAAATCACAGAAGTCCAAGCCTGTCAAGAATCATTCTGCCACTAATAAAAGAAAATTGCATTTCTTCCAAGAAAATACTTGTTTGTTAGGTTTTTTGTTTTGTTTTGTTTTTGTCTGTTTGCTCTTTTTTTGTTGTTGTTTTGATTTGTTTTGTTTTTTTCCCCTCCACTGTGATTAAGTTGTATTGTTGTTCATGTTGTATAGATAAGAAAACCAATAAAACATAAATTATGATTAAAAAGAAAATACATGTTGCTTCTCTTCATGGTTAAGATGGGAATTTGTCATTGATTGTGACTTTTATGAACACTTACACTAACCCTGAACCCCAACAGTTAATATTGTTCAACTGTTGATGGTGACTTTTGTCTGGTTTTCCTCAGATTTAAAGGAACAATTAAAAAAAACTTTCTTCCAGTAATTCCTTGAATTAACTCTTCACAACGTTTAATGCGACATGTTGCTGTTCGCAGTCAGAAAGTTTTAATTATGAATGTAAAAGTTACTCTGTGAAGTCTCAAAGTGTTGATGGTGACTCTGGTCTGTTCTTCCTCAGATGAAAGCAGCTGCCTTCCACCAACTATTCCCAATGGAAAGTACCCTAAAAGCTCAAACGGCTGGTATGACGATGGAAGTACACTAACGATAACATGCGATGGAGGATTTGAGCACCAAAACCAGATCAACACCACTACCTGTGGAAATGGAAAATGGTCCTCTGCACCAGTCTGTGAGAGTAAGTCTGCCACATGTTTGACTCCAGTTAGCTGTTCAACACTTTTTTTCTGCTTCTATTCATGACTTTTTATTTTTACAGGAAGTATGAGTGCATGCAGTGCACCTCCTAAAATCCCCCATGCAGTCATCATTCATGGATACCAGGAAGTGTTTGCAGCAGGTTCAGAAGTGCAGTATGAGTGTGAAGACAGATACACTGCACACACCGAGAAATCTGTTTGTATACAGGGAAACTGGACAGCAGTGCCAACATGCAGTAAGCTGACTGTTTAATGAGATCTGCATTTATGTATTTACTTTTTATGAATTGGCAATAATCCACAGTAAGTTTAAAAACAACTGATTACATGAAACTTGTATCAGTGCACAAATGAATGAGAATGTTTAGTGAATGATCAGGTGGTCAGAAATATAATAAATAAAAAATAATAAGTAGTCTGCAATCAATCGAAGTTTACAGTCTACAAATGATGCACGTTTAAACAGGAAGTGGACTGTCAGTGTCTGTTTACAGTCTTTTCTGCTGTTCATAGTGAAATTTAATAAAATACAAAAATACAAAAAAAACAGATATTTAATACATATTACAGTGACTTTATCCTTTTATTTTTGGGTGTTTTTGAGCAGTAAAAGTTCTTGGATGCATATGTAGTGGGTGTAGAATATGTGATGTATTTTCTGTCTCTCTGACAGAGATTGAAACCAGACCAGGTGGTGAACATACTGAATCACCAGTTACAGAAACAGGAGACGGCAGTGTGATACAGCCAGGACATGGAGGTAGGTTATGATTTACATTATGTCTCAGTGGGGGTTAAAAGTTCTCTAGCATGAATACCTTGTTAACATAAAAATGACTGACAAACTTTATAAAATAATAATAGAGAAAATGTTCAAATTGGCCTAATCTCAAAGCAAAATAACTGTTTTGTATCTTTCAGGATCTTCAAATGAGGGAGATACACGTCTTCGTTATACAACAAGTAAATAAGTACATTATTTTCTCCTTGAATTTATTCATGCTGACCAATCAGAATGTTAAGTGCATTACCTCAGCGACAGTTTGTTATGTTTTCAGAAATATTCCTGCGTTTTCATTTCAGTTCAAAGTTGCGGAAACTTCCCTGTTATTGAAAATGCTGTTGCTCAGCAAACTTCACGATACTATTTGATATACCGATGCCCACGTTTGTACAGATTAGTGGGTCCAGAAAGAGTGAAGTGTATCAGCAATGGCATGTGGTCAGACTTACCTGAGTGCAGAGGTATAAACACATCAATGATAATCATTTTTAAGGATCTCTTAAAGCGTTGGGGAGAAATTTTAATTTGATGGTTGTTTCTTGTGTCCAGCTAACTTCTGTGCTGTCAACACCAATGACAATCCTGCATACATATCTGTGGGAACTGTGCACATAGAAAATGGTAAGGAAGAGAGAGTGGAGTGTGTGAAACCACACAGCTGGTCGTTTGAACATTATTCTAAGATTCGATGCATCAATGGAAGAGTGGAGGCAACTAACTGTAAGTATTACTGTAAACTCTCTGTGTTTGAACGTGTCAGTCAGAAAAGAGTTTTCAGTGCTGTGTTGCCTACATGTTAACACGTTTTTATTACCTATAAGAAAGAAAACTTTGAGATAAATAAAACAACTGAACATGAATCGTTTTAATAACAACTACATTTTAAAAGCACTTAATGTCTCTCAGTGTCGTCATATCCAACCAAGCTTTTACAACTTTAAACTCCTTTAAACACACAGAAAAAACTACAGCAACTCTGCTGATTCACTGATTCGTTGTTGCCTTCATTACTTGTCACCAGAAGTACTGCACAGGCACCTGTCACACCTTGTAGTGTATGCTGCAGCCCTGACAGCTTCCCTTTCCCTGCACTAATGCCTGTGATGTGGAAATTATTAAAATGAGTAACAGATATACACAATAGATCTTATAGACCTGATGAATATGTATTTCTTTAACATACACAGGAAAGCTTTAAACAGAGTTTACTGTGTGATCACCTTTAATGAGGCTGATAAATATGTTGTTTACTTTGTGCCTCGTGTAAAAACACAGGGGACTATTTTGTAAACAAACATATCCACTTCTATAGAAACTTTGTAGAAACTTGTAGACATGTAGAAAACTGAACACACCTCATCTGCAAATGTTAAGTAACTGAAGTGTTCACACTGAGCTTCTGCATCACTGTTTACAGGTTGTAACAGGGCAGAGCATGCAGTGGTGAGTGTTCCTCTTTAAAAGAATTGCTGTTATTGCTCTGATCTGTCATTTAAAGAGCTTTCATATGAAGAAACACATCTTGGTTTTTTGTTTGTTTGTTTTTTTGGTGGGGGTTCTTGTTTTTTGTTTTTACACTTGTAATTTATTCACAAAATATATTTTTCTTCTAACCAGAGGTGCAAAAAACAGCTGTAGCTGAGGATTTGATCACCACCTTGGAGCTTTTAAAGGAGACACCTGACATATGATCACATCATCACATCTTCATTGTCATCTTGAAGAGTGTGAGAGAAAATGATTTGTGTGCTCATATATGAAACAAACACCGGTGAACTGAATAAAGTCTCAGTATTTACTATCATTACTCCTGCTGCTCTTGATTTCAGGGTGTTCCTGTTCAGGGTGACAAGTTGCTGAAAGTTCTCACATGTGGTTTTCTTTTCTGGAGCCTCCAGACAGTCATACACCTACAAACTCACACATTTCTTTTTGCCGTTTGTTTGTTTTTGCAGTTTTGATTTATTGATCGTGGCAAAAAGTTTGAGAAAAACTTCATCACTTTTTACAAATGTGAAGAATGTTTAAACTATCGAATTGTCAAACAGTTCTGACCAAAGTTACGGGAAAAGCCTCATAAAAATAATAACTTTGTTTTTATTTCTTTACTGTTTTTAACCCTTTAAAGCCGGTCGGAGCGGGCACGCTCTGTTTTGCGTAACTATTTTTAAATCCTGGTAGCACTGCAACCACTTCAGCTAGCGCAATAATTTTTTTTGCATACATCCACGTGAAATACTATGAATACTTTCCAGATGCAGTGTATGTGTGACCAACAAATTTTAAAAAAAAGCAGCCTAACACCCACAAAAGCAGATAGATCACTCATTACAGATTTTCCTTATTCAACTTATTCATAAGCTTCATAACAATGCCATGTGTTTACTTCCCCATCGTGCACAACCAGACGAGCCCAGACATATCTGACAGTTCGACACTTTACACTATTTTCTTTGCTTCCTTACCTGAGTGAGTCCTGAAGTGCATTTCTAGACTTGACTTTCCTTTAAATTCTTTCATGCAGACCTCACACTGATGCACAGCAACTTTCTGCAGTATTTATTTATGCAGACAACAAAAGAAAACAACACTTGCCAAAGTTACAGGCTACTCTGGAAAGGAGAGAGAGAAGCCGGTGACAACAACAACACCACTGCACTAGAGAACAAGCCCGTGGTTTGTATAACATACTTCTGCCAGACTTTCTCTCCCAGATGAGCACTTCTGTAGTGGACTGTCAGGTGATCATGGCATCTAATGCACTTGCCACACTCCTCACACTGTTGTGCTTTCTCACCTGTAATAGAAATGGGTACAGTTAAAATACTGTTTTTAAGTGTTTTAACGCTGTACCATGTGACTGTGTGGAGGCAAAGCCACGAAAGTAACAAGTAAAACTGGAGAATAGCGCTGCCGTCCCTTCCATGCTCACCAGAGTGTATTTTCTGATGTTTGGTCAGGTGATCGTGGCGTATGAAGATTTTCCCACAAACATCACACTCATACCGCTCGTCATCATGGTGGACTCTGAGGTGAAGCCTGTCCAAGGAACAGTTTAGCCAATATAGAGAACTATAGCTATAAAAACGGCATATTAATAATTGAGAGTTTGAAACTTTTGTCATCATCAAGCCTCTCCAAAAGTCACTGGACTCACCTGTAGCAGCTGTCACTATGGAAACATCAGCCACAGATACCACAGAGGTCAGGTTTCTCTCCACCCTGAATCATCAAGTGCTCCTTTAAGGTTGTCCTGTGATGAGAACATTTCCAGCCATGTTCCAGTTACTCTGGTATGATGATTTTATAAATGTTCAGTTTGGCGCACCTTAAAGTCTTCTTTCTGAAAAATGGAAAAAACAGATTTTGCCAAATCCTTCCGCCTCATATGAATTTGGTAAAAACAAATGTTCTTACTATACACCTGGAAACATTTTTAGTTGCTAGGCAGCCACGCCAAACCTGTTGGGATGCTGTAAACTCAAGTAAAGGAGAATCTAACTGTGCTTTCTTATATTTTCCCTCATTTTCCCTGATATCTGTTCCTTAACAAAAACACAGAGCTTGTAGAGATCTAGCTGACAATCAGAGAAACTCTGATTTTAAATCAAACACACATTAACCAGAAAACCTGTGCTTCTACATGTTTGATGTTTCGTAATGGTGACCTCTGATTACAGCAATCCGGGAAGTCTCTTTGAAATCTGGGATCTGTAAACAACCTCATAGAATTTATCCAAAACATTTTCTGAGAAATTCAGGATCAAATGAATAAACATGGACTTTTTCTGCCATATAAAAGTGAAATACTGAAGTGTTTTCTTGACAATAACTGCGTCTCACGGTCAGAAGGACTAAATATTCACAGTAAATGAGACAACAGGAGTAAAAAAAATGAGTCTTTGTGCATTCATTTGTCTTTATTTTAGTCCTGTCAAAATTAATGCATCTGGAGTGCAGAATGACTCAAAATTCCTGAAATGTTTCTGTCAACGCCTTTTGGGCAGTTTGTCCAAACAGAGTTACCTTCGCACATGCGCGAAAGCACCTCCAGCTTAAAATATCACATTGACGCAAAGCATACGTTAGCCGGGGATGCTGCTAGGACTTTGGTTAACGCGTCACTCAGCTTGCTACAAACCACTCACGGAGCATCGGGGACTCAGTAAGTCTACCTCGGAAATATTGACTGACACAATTGCCAAGTGGATTGCAAGAAACTGCATGAATGATGCATTGAATGATATTTAATCGTGATTAATCAAAATGAATCCACAGTAACCCTGTGATGAATCTGATTAAACATTTGTTTGACAGCACTAATACATATTATATATTAGTGTAAACTAACCTATTAATATATAGTTTTTTTGTTTTTGTTTTTAAAAGTTGTATTCCACAGGCGAGAACCTGTGCTAAAAGATTGAAGAAAACTATACAAATTCTCTTTGAATTTAAGCATACATTCTTTGTGTTTATTCTCCATTTACTTCATTAGTGCATGAATTTTAGTTACAAGTTTAAATATAAAGTTGAAGAAAATGTAATTGTGGCCAGGCTATTGATCAAGTAATTGCGATTAATTACAGAAAATTGTGGGATTTTTTTTTTTTAATTGGTTTGGTACTATTTTTATAACTAAAGTGTGCATTTTCAAATCTCTCAGTACAAAACTCACATTTGATCACATTTGTAACACCACTAGTCATTCTTTCAAATCTGACGTCATGATTTCATTGTATTTGCACATATTTTCATTCCACTTAATCATTGTTGCAGAACATATGATCATTGTG